GAGGACAAGGTCCTACAAACTGGTTACTAATCAGCTGCCTGACTGTAAATATTGTAGAAGAGTGAAGTGAACTCTTTGTTTATCTGTCTGTGTGTCTGCAGAGTGAGTGTGTATGTAAAACAGGTTACATGGGGAGTGGTACCGTGTGTGACCTCATTAACCCCTGCCGCAAGAACAACGGAGGCTGCCACGAACTGGTAAACACACACACACACACAGGACGTGTGTCATCCATGAAGATGTCTGTTTTCATTTAAATGGTGGTAAATGGTTTGTGGAGCCCAAAGGCACCCACAAAGTAAAGCTGAAACAACGTCCTGATCTGCTTATACTATTCTCTGTACTCTGGTAGAAACTGATAATCTTTCTTAGATTGTTTCTGGAAGATAAATGTTGCTTTGATGTACAATATGTTTATTTGTGTATGAGTGACAGCTCATCCATAAGAATATGAGAACAGAGATTTCCTTAAGCGTTTGTGTGATTAAGTGATTTCCCATTATCCCTATCTGATTTATACTCTGTCAGGCAAAGTGTGAGCTGAAGGAGAGTGGAACTCACACCTGTACCTGTCCCGACGGCTACGCTGGAGACGGAACCATCTGTTACGGGTCGTTACTGGAGGTAAGTATTCAGACAAGTATGATATAGGGAAGTCCCAATTAATTTTTTTTTTGGTGCTGATCCAAGTGCCTAAATATTGCCTGCAGATCCAACTACGATCCAATAATTATATTTGCCTAAATGTTAATTGAATATGTACCAGACAGCTGGAGCCAACTGACTTTGGCACCTCTTACTCTTCCACAAGCTACTTAACCTAAATTCTGGAGGTCCTGGTTCAAAACTATTAAATTAAGTGGCTTACATTATTGATATGATATGAAAGGAAGTTTAACTGGGGAAAATGTGACCCCTAAAATTAACATAATATGATCTGCTAGAAAGTAGAAGTATCACTCTGTTGGAGATGCTTAGGGTTTGACTCAACGTCATTTGTCTTCCTTCGTCATCTGTGATGTGAAAACATCAAATTTCCACACAGTCATAGAAAGTAAAACTGTGTGCCCTGCTTTTAGTTCAGTTATAAAATCTCAATGCACCATGGAGCGTTTCTCCTGTCGGCCTGCTGACGGCGCTGTCAGCCAAAGACTCAGTCACAGTGGATGGCAGTCTGGTACCACCACTGTACCACCGTCTGGTTACAAAATGGTGAACAGTCGTGCTACAGAATGGAGGTTTCCCCTCATAAAATTATCTTTGGCTGTGTAAAGACGCCGACTTGTAGAGAGCACACAAAACTAACACCAGCCATGTTTAACTTTAGCTTGTTATCAAAATACTCACAGTCATTAACATTAGTTAGCTGGTGCCTGCTGCAACATCTGTAATTGCAGCAGGTGAAAGGGACTATCAGCGCTGGCTAAAAGTGACAAGCTGGTACCTTGTAGCTGCTACTACAACCTGGACTTGTCTCTAGTGAACAGTAAATCCCTTAATG